TAGGTGATAAAGATGTTTAGGTTTAAAAGCAACAATTGTTCCAGACGTTGCAAGCTTGTTGCTGGCCAAGTCTGTTCCCTTATTATCTGTATTTCTTAGAGGGCTTGGCAAAGTATTTTGCACAAGAAATACTTGGGGCCTGCGTGGTTTTGTTGATGTATAGACAAAGCACTTGAATTGACATTTGAGTGCATGCAAATACAGCTGCAACTCCACGACCATAAGGGAAGCATCTGATCATTTCATAAAATAGCAATGAAGTATCTTACTTTTTAAATATCATCATGACAAAGAAGTAGGGAAAATTTGAAAGCATATTTAGAAGTATAAAAAAAGCCTACAGCAAAACCTTATCTTCTATTAGGGGAGCCGTCTGTTCTTAATAAGGTATCCTTTCCAGGCACAGGTTATGAAACCAGAAGCTACTCTCAGTTTGCCCCTCTCCTCCTCGACAATGCTTTAATTCAATTTTGAACTTTAGCTCAGAAGAACATTGATTATGTGTGTGTGCGCGTATACACACATATATAAAATAAGTCTTTCTAAAGCCACTCCCACTACTGCAGTATTTTGAAACAATTCCCAGTTATCATATTCTTTTGTCCATTAATATTTCAGTAATTAACCTAAACGACAAGAATTCTTTTTTGATAACCCTAATATCATCATCATATTTGGAAAATTAAGAATACTTAATAGAATCAACTACCCATTATTTAAATTGCCAGTCGTATCATAAAAATTGCTAGAAATGGATTTATTGTTGTTTTAAAGTATATTCCTTTGAATCAGGATCCAAATAATTTCTGTATATTGCACACAGTTATCATATCTTATTTAAAGTTCCTTTATTTTTTTAAAAAAATTTATTTATTTATTCATGAGAGACACACAGAGAGAGGCAGAGACACCGGCAGAGGGAGAAGCAGGCTCCACACAGGGAGCCCGATGTGAGTCTCCAGGATCACGCCCTAGGCCAAAGGCAGGCACCAAATTGCTGAGCTACCCAGGGATCCCCAAGTCTCCTTTAATCAATAGATTTCCTCACCATTTTTGTGTGTGTCATTTATTTCTATTGAATAAATGAAGTTGTTTGTCCTTAGAATTCCCTCCACTGGTTTGCTGATGGGATCTCCAGGGTATAATTTAATTTGTTTCCTCCATTCTCTGTATTTCCTATACATTGGTGATTGGATGTGAAGACTATTAGATTCACATTTCTTAGGTTTGGGTGCTTTTCTGGGTGGTAGTGGGGATGGGTAGGACTTCTCCCTAGTTGCCATTGTGTTGGATCACTTCATTCTCTGTGTTGTCTTAAAAAAATTCCTTTCCCTTTCTCTTGCCTTATCCTCTCTTGTTTCACCTATACCATCTAACTACCTTGACCCATATTCACAATCCAACGCATAACCCTCCATATTTTCTCCATGATCACTTAAATATCTTTATGCATGTGCAAAGGTTCTGTTTGCTTTACAAAAATTAGATCGTGAAAAGCCTTCCAAGCCAAATAGTAGAGCTCTAATTTGTTCTATTTAATGGCTCCAAAGTAATACTCCATGTGCACAGCTACCACAATTTATTCAGCCATCCTATTTCAGGTGGCAAGTGCTTTGTTCCTAGAACTTGTTGCCATATCTTGTTCATTTATACATATATCCTGGCTTTTGTTTTTATAGGATGGGTTTCCCAAGAGTGAGATTGCTGGGTCAAAAAGTATTATGTATATTTTATTTTAGTAGATGTTTCCAGTTAGCTTTCAAAAAAGGCTGTAGCAGTTCATATATCCACCACCCCAGTCTCAAGGAGCGGGCGGGGGGTGGGGGAACAGTCATAAATGAGAGTTACATGTTGGGAGCCAGCAAGGAGCAGGGGTCATTCAAGGAGAGGAAAAGTTCTGTGGGATCCCCTAATCAGCAATCAGTGAGCTAATGGTAAGTGGTTCTTCAGAAGAAAATGCCCTATTCGTCTTTATATCTCATGAGCCTAACATAGGCCTGGCACAGAACAAACAATTCAGAATCCCCCAAAGAGGGTCTGAAGACAGTTATCTCTGACTACTAAAAGTTACCTCTAAAGCATCTCCATTTCATGGATCCCAGTGAGTTCTTTCCTACTGGGTGGTACTTCCAAATTACACAATAGAATGTATTTAACATCTGCTCTTAATTTCATTTGAGTCTTTATCCATCTCAGCTAAAATTCTGGGAAAAAAGAAGTTGTCTTGGATTGGAAAAACCAGGAAACTTGGCTCAAGAGAATCATTCCTAAGTCATGGAACATTCTGGTTTTTTAGTGCTCTACATGTGATGGTCACACCAAAAGGAGTACCCACCTCCCCTCCTCTGTGAGAGTCACATTTTTCTTATTAAGCCTTCATTCATCTCTCTTGCTCCTTTTGCCTTCCCAGGACAATGCTCTCTAATATGATACTCCTCACCTCATCTTTCAAGCCAAGACCTTTTGTTTGAATAAGGTAAAAGGTTGTGTGTTCTGCAAATAAAAAAGATCTTTTTTCAAAGAATCTACCAAATGTTCTCACAATTCAGTCCTAAGGATTTTACAGTAAAGGAAACAAAAGATTAGCCCAGCTTCATCTTACAGTTGGGAGAGTTAGGAAATGCCAAATGAGTAACAAAGCTCCTAGTTTTGACCAAGCCTAGCTATGCATTTATGGGAATCATTAAGCTGCCCGAATGTCAAAGTCATTGTTGGTGTAGTAAGGGGATCTTTATACTGAAAATAAGAGAGCAGTCTGTTGACAAAAGGAAGAAATACAAATTACAATGTACACTTTTAAAAATAGGAAGTCATAATACCAATTCATAGTTTTTCAGAGAGACACATTCCACTGCACTCTCCATAAACAGCCTTGCCCCAGCCCCACCCATACCCACACCCACCCAGCCACCCTTACAAGACTGACACCAGCCATACTCCAGGAGTTGGACCCATCACAGATCTCAGTGCTGGGGTAAGTGTTTTTCTTCATTTGACCTAATTTCAGGGTTATCTCTGGCTAGGAACCCAGCACAGTGCAGTTGTAAGAAGCCTGCTCTATGTCGCCTGAGATAATTGAATCTGGACATTCCGCTTGGTGTCTGGAAATGTGGAAAAAGCATCCTTGGAGAGAAATTGGGGAAAATATGAGCGATATAGAGATTTAAAAGGAAAAGGAGAGTCATATATTTAGTGTTTTGTTTTTACATTTGAATAAAATCCACAATGCAATCTTCTGTTTCAAAAAGGAACTAAGAAATAAATAGAATGGCAATTTGGTTCTGTATTTTTTTATGTTACCTTCGATGACCAGAAATCTAAATAGGGAGAATTCTGAGCAAGTAGCACATCACAGGTTGCCTTGTTAAAGTAAGAATAGAATGAAAGGGAAAATTTCCTTAAAGAAAGAGCTAAATAGCTCTTAAGATGTGAATTTGAATGTAGAAATAGTTATAGTTCAGATAAGGCACTACTGACAAATGATTCCATTAACTGAACCCTTACGTGGAACCACCTGACAAGGGGAGAAACAAACTAACTTTATAGCCTTTTCTTTACCCCTTTCCCTTTCTCCTCCTCCATCACCCAGGTGTCTATGACTCTCTCCATCTCTGAGTGACAATAACTTGCTTGCAGGAAGGGTCTGATATTACTCGTCTATACGTTTATTCATGGGGATCTGAGTCAATGTATTACTTCTCTAAAAGATTTCTCTATTTGAGCCTCACTTTGACTTGCAGAATGTGAAGGGAAAGAAGTAAATGTGGCATATTTTTGGTTCCTACATCTTTACCCCTGTAAATTTCAGTCTTGGTTAATTCTTTTGGAGAAAAAAAGATCCTCATTTCATTTACAGCGTGATAGCGGTGTCTAAACTCTACCTAGACAGATACAGTCTCATCCCATTCACTTATCCCAGCTAAACCAAAATAAGTTGCATTTTCAAAGAGGGAAGACAGAAGCTGGGAAATCTGAGACATATAGCAATAAATTAATATATAGCAATAAATTGATATAAAGGAAACCGAAAGTAAGCAATCAGTGGAGTTTGTACTTGGTTGTGTGCCCAAAGGAGAGGTGGTAGACAAGATATGGCAGGTCGGTTGTGATCAACTCTGGAACAGACCAGCTCTGGGGAGGGAAGGGAGATCTTTTTCCATTCCAGACACCACTCAGTAAGCTCTCCTTGTCATACCTTCAAAGTTTAATTTTTTTTTAATTTTTATTTATTTATGATAGTCACAGAGAGAGAGAGAGAGAGAGAGGCGCAGAGACATAGGCAGAGGGAGAAGCAGGCTCCATGCACCGGGAGCCCGACGTGGGATTCGATCCTGAGTCTCCAGGATCGCGCCCTGGGCCAAAGGCAGGCGCCAAACCGCTGCGCCACCCAGGGATCCCCTTGTCATACCTTCAAATACAAATTAAGACTCATAAGTAAGTAGAGGACCACATGTCATTAAATTATTTTCATCTCCTTGCTCATCAATGTTTAAAAAATGAGGGGCGCCTGGGTGGCTCAGCGGTTGAGCATCTGCCTTGGGCTCAGGGTGTGATCCCGGGGTCCTGGGATTTAGTCCCACGTCGGGGTCCCTGCAAGGAGCTTGCTTCTCCCTCTGCCTGTGTCTCTGCCTCTCTCTGTGTGTCTCTCATGAATAAATAAATAAAATCCTTTTTAAAAAAATGAGAAAGAGAATCCTTGAAGACAGATATCCCCTACCTACTCTCTTAGGAGGGAAGGAGTACTAAATCAGCAAAGATATGTTAACAGGGAGAAAAAAAACAACCTAGACACTATGAAAGGTAATCATAATTCAAACTTAAATTGATTAGAACAATGCACTGGACAGTTTCCAACATGCTTCCATATTACATTATTTCAACTGCTGAATTTGGTCAAGAGACTGCACTCAGAGTAGGAATGTTATTAATCATTGTTGAGTTCCTTCTGAAAGTTGTTGAATTTAATTTACTGAAGATACTACCAATTCCTTCAAAAACACATGACCCACGGCTTTTTGGCTCCATTTATGCACTGAAGAGAGATTTAATCATCAGCTAGTGTCACACTAGAGTGACTCAGAGTGAGGAGGGAACCTCAGACTCCTCAGACTTGCATGTACTCAGAGCTTGACGGAAGCCCAGGAAATCTCCACCTCCAGAGGACGGTGTGGTCAGGTGGCTCAATCCTTCCTTCCTCAGCACAGCGGGCAGACCGCCCTCGGCTGCAGGTCCCCAACAGCTTCTCCAACTCCAGTGCATCTTCAGTAAGGTAACCAGTGACCGAATTCTATCATTTATCCTTCCGTTTCTCATGTCAGTCTTCAAACTCCCTTTGATTTTCCTCACTTTTGGAGAATTAGTCAAGTTGTTTTTCATGCTATAAAATAATAATAGTAATAATAATAATGTTTGAAGGCTGTGATGGGCACTGAGTCCATCCTCTCATAAAAGTGATCCCAGTGTTGCCTGGATCCTTGCCTGGAACTCCCCCCAGGTGTCTCTTTGAATGTTCTTTGACATCCTAGAGTTATAATCAAATTTATATCTATTTATTGTCTCTGTGCCTCTTTGACGCCATCTGCAAATCTTATAATTAACTGGAAACTGGATGGGGGAGGGGTTCCAAAAAGTTTCTTACTGGAGCAACAGATTTGCTACCAACTAGCTGTAGGTCAGATCTGTTTGTCTACCTGCTTTGCTAGTATTACCAGACATCACTTTAGACGAATGCACGTGTGCTCAGCAAAGTGAGTGAGAAAAACACCTTCTAGGTCAGAAGGAAGCAGGGTACTTCCTCACAATGCACATTTGATTCCTGGATACTAAAATGACAGCAATAAGCCTGCTTCAGATATTTATTCTGCATTTTATGATCACTGTGTTGGCATTTTACCTGGAAGACATTGGGCTTTCCTTCAAGTCCAAGTCTGTTTTCACTTTGATTCCCAAAATACAATGGGTAGTTCAATGGCTTCCCTGCCACTTAACCCTGGCAGCCCTTGTTAAAGGCTTTATGATTTAAATGGTGGCGTGGTGCGCTCCCTCAGTGGGTTGATTTTTAGCAGCTGGGGAAAAAGTTTAAATAAAACATATATCTAAATTAAAAATCAACTTGGGTTTTTGAGATTTGAAAAGGGTGTCCAATTTTTGGAACAAATCCTAATATTTAAATACAAGAAAAAATTGTTATATGTTTCATGAGGAAAGCGGGAAGTGGTCTTAAAACCCTTATAACAAATGTTCTTAAGGTACAGACTAAAAACTCAGACCTTCCCATCTGCTCAAAGGTAACCATGTATGAAAGAAATACACTGAAATGTTGAACATACTTTCTGCATCTATACATAATATTGTCCCCAGATTCCAAGTTTTCTTTGTTTTTTTAAGTTTTTTTTTTAGAGTGATCTCTATACCCAATGTGGGGCTTGAATTCAAGACCCCAAGATCAAGAGTGGCATGCTCTTCCAACTGACCTAGCTGAGCACCCGTTTAAGCTTTCTTTAAAGCCTTGTAATGACAAGCAGCTATAATCATATACAATATATGCTCTCTTGAGTAAAGAGATCACGGTTTTAACAATAATTCTTAACCTGCCAATACTACCAGGAAGCATATTGGCAAAGTAATCAAGCTAGGGGGAACAGGGAATAATTCATTAGTTAATAATTGTGGATATAATGGTGAATTATAATTTCAAAGCTTTGAGAGAAGGGAAAAGAAAATCAGAGGTGAGACAAATCCATCAGGTCTTCCCCATGTTAGACATGGCTGCCATACCTCTTCTAGGAGATTTTCTGAATGATTGAGTCTGCAGAGGAAGCACACACTCCTCCACGCCTCACTGGTCCCACCATGCAAAGGACACTCTGGGTATTACAGGCCACCTCCCTCCCGGAGGAGGCAGGGTTCAAGGAAAATGTAACTGGTGGAGGAGCTTCTTCATTCCATCAAGTGATGGAACTTACTGTTTCCATTATGATGAATACCACCTCGATTATATCATTAGCAGCATCATTATTATTATTACTATTATTTTCATCAGACCCTCAAAGAAGCATTTGTGGTTTCATGTAAGCATATTTCATATAGGATCTCTTGGCTCCACTGAAAAAAATGTCCTTAGATTTCCAGGTGCCCAACTTGAACATATTTTTCAGAGAAATGTATTTATTCGTTATATGAATTAGTTTGTGTCATTAGGTCAAACCATTTTTCTTAAAAGTGCAGCAGAAATCTGTGAAAGCTCACTTGAGTTAAAAAAACCAAACAAATAGAATTTCTTACTTCAATGAAAAAGCCAAAATAAAAAAGAATTCTGTGTAACTTAGCTAGGTTAACAATATTAAATATACTAAGGACATACATGTCGAGAATGCCATCGATATTAAGAAAGTCGTGCAAGAGAACTTCAAAAGGAAAATATCTGAGAAAACTACTGCTAAATGCTATTTGATGTTTTTTGTTTTGTTTTGTTTTGTTTTTTAAAGAAACTACTTAGTTGTTGATTCAACTTGGGCCACGATTGCAACAAATTGAAAGTAAATACAAATTCTACAAATTCCTATCAATCAGTGTGATTGCCTACCTTTAGTATTTTGTCCTTGAACAAAGCCCTTCAGGGAGTTATGTGGAAATAAAATCAAGTTGCGTGGAGGAAGGAATTTAGAAAGAATTCTGTTTTTCTTATGAAAAGTAGAGCTCACAATGACATTGAGTCATTGGAGACATTATTCTCAGTTCTTTTTGGTTTTAACTCTGTCATTCACTTTTAAAGGGCATGGGAACGTGAATAAGAAAAGTGAAATCAAAGGATCTTATTTTTGATTTTTTAGTAGGAAAAGAAACCCAGGTATAGACAATTCAAAAAAAGCAGAAGTGAGAAAGGATGGTAATCGAGTTGCAATATTTTCCTACAGCTGCAAACACGTGTTTACACTTAAGCATTTTGCATAGTAAATGAAAGAGGCAATTAGTTCCCCTTTCTTGGTTCCTTTTGAATCTTTGTGACATGATCAAGGCTTTTGATCAAGTATTTTCATTCCTCCTATTACCTGATAATGCATCAATTTCTTTGCAGTTCTTTCTTCTCCTACTCCTTTGGGGAGTTCAAAGATGAGAATTTTAGCTCTAGGCATTCTCTGGCTAATGACTTCCTGTGTGATACCTACTCCACTTAGCTCACAGAAATATTTTGACAATTAAATGAGATAAATATTCCTTGAGTACTTTTCAAAAATTCCTAAAGTTCTCTAAATTGGAAGTATGAATATTATATTGCTATTATTATCCTTTTGTCTGATGATTCAGAGGGTTCAAAGACTAATCCAATTATCACCGGAACCCTGGGCTTAGAGTTGAAACTTTTTCCTCCTTCTTTTCCTTCTTTCCTTCACAGCATTTATTTACCTAATGCCAAGTATCATGTAAGTAGTGGTGGTTGTAGAGAAGTGTACGTATAGCCCAGATTCCCAGAGCTGAGTGGGAACGAAGGTGGCAGCGGAGCAGAGGATGAAAGGATGAACAGTCAAATTAAAGTGGCCTGAGTATCAGTCCCCAAAGCAGCACTACAATTCTCTCTTGAGCCAATTAACTTGTATTTCTGAAATTGTTTCTTTCTCTATAAAATGGAGATAATTTTACTGTAAGGCTTATGTAAGAAATATTTATAGACCCTAGTAGAGGGCTTAGAATACAGCAAGCACTCAATAAACCATAGCAGTTATGACTGTCCCTACTTGACCTGGTGATCTGGGAATCCCGAGTACCATGGTTTTCCTGGGGATGTATTCTGAATTCTGTAGAATCAACTGGCAACCCAGCAGAAGGGCTTCCCCAGAGGAACCAGTAGTGGCCCTAATGGAAAAGTCTCAGCCAGAATTTAGGCCTCATAAATGCTGTGAGTGCTAAGTTGGTAATTTCTAAATTTGACTTTGTTCCCTGCCTCCTATCCTCCTGATGACAAAGAGGCACTTTTTTCAAATCACAGAAACTAATGCTTACAGTAGCAGGATAGGAGTAATATTTCTAAGTAACAAAACTTTTCTGGTAGGGCCATAAGAAAATAAATAAATGAACTCTCATCAATGTGGCACTATCCTTAGTTCTTGAACTAATGACTGAGTTTTCAGAAAAGAACTTCTGATACTGTAAAGTTCTGGACCCCCAAGACAAGGAGGCTCTAGACCAGTGGGTCTCAACTGGGAGCAGTTCTGTCCCCCAGGGAACATCTGGCAATGTCTGGAGACATTTCCTGTTGTCACAACTGGGGAGGAGGTGTTCCTGGCATCCAGGGGGTAGAGGCCGGGGGTGCTGCTAAACATCCTTTAATAAACAGGACAGACCCCACAACAAATAATTATTTTACCCCAAATAGCAAAAAGTACCAAGGGTGAGAAACCCATGCTGAAGTATGAGCAGGATCCTCATAATCAAATGTGACTGAAACACCATAAGGATCTTCCTATGCGGGAGGCATCGGTCACTTTAATTTACCAGGTACTCTCCAATGGTGAAGTTATTATTTCCATTTTCCAGATAGGAAAATGGAGGCTAAGAAATTATAAATAATTTGCCCAAAGACCTCTGATGATCAAAGAGCTGGGACTGGACCTCTACGTGCCTGATTCTGAGACCTGGGCTCTTAACCCCTGCCCTGCTGGTGTGTGTGTGTGTCCTCAGTCCTCACTTCCCACATTTATTTTTACTAGCCAAGTGACTGGTGTTTGTTGTGGCTTAGGAAAAATCTCCAGGCGCAGTTCAGAGGACGTATACTTAGAGTCGCACCAGTCCTCATGCACTGGGGTGTGGGGACTGCAGATCGGCTTTCCCTTACTCTGTCCTCAGTGTTGACAACACCACAGGCTCACAGCCACTGGATCCTAAGAGGACTGGTGTAGATGAAGTGCACTTGCCTTGAACCAAGTGATGTGTACTCCTTGCTAAGCACTTTATTATGAGATAACCTGGAAGACAAAGCAAATAAGCAAACAGCCCAAGCAACTAAGGTCAGTGCCCCTGAGTCTCTGAATTTTCGGGACCGAGGAGCCATGTGGAGGTGGCCAGGCTAGTGGAATATGGTTGAGGCAGCCATACTAGTTGCAGTCATTCATTTACCTCTCGGCGGTCAATGAACCAATCGGCCATCAATCAGCTTCTGTGTACAGGTCACTTACCCAGTAACTCTGACCAAAGGCTGCTGCTAGGAAACATGACAACACATGGAACCTTGGCTCAAATACGATTAGAGGTCAAAGGTATGCCTGTGTTGATTTGTGACTGACTCGATCAAATGACCTTGAGGAAGGTGAACCTTAGGAATTGAAGAACCAGTATTTTTTGGACAGTAATATTTGGGGTAAGAACAGGGTATGCAAAACTCTAGCTCAAAGCTGGTAGTCCCCTGGTTTCAGGCTGTGGGCTGGGACATCAGCATCTGAGAGGACTCAGCCCAGAGGGATACCTAATAAAGACAACACATTTTAATGGGAGCCCATCCTTAACAACTAAGAAGCTCCTCTCTGTCTCTAGGGATGAAGGAAGTAAGGGGGACGTGGAGGCCATGAGGAGGGAGGAGGGAGTCTGTTTTGGTTTGAATTTTTATTTTTCTCCAGTGGCTATGAAGGTGAACTTAACAAAGAGTAGAAGTCCAAGGTCACTAAATCCTGAAGTGCTGGAGTTCTGACCTATTTTGTGCATGAAACCCCCTTGGGTCTACTGAAGCCTTTTCTTAGAAAAAAAAAATGTTATATTTTCCCTTGCCAAATTTTTATGCTTTTATTTTGAAATGATTTCAAACTATGGGAAAGTTAAAAGAATAGTACAACCTGGAATCTTTAAATATTAACATTTCACCACACTTGCATTGTCATTCTCTCTTTACATCCATATGTATGTGGGGGTTTTGTTGCTGCTGTTTTATTTTTAATTGAAGTGTTGTTGGTATACGATATGATGTTAGTTTCAGGCATATGATATATACATTACAAAATACTCATCATCTATCACCATACATAATTATTGACTATATTTCCTATGTTCTACTTTTTATTCCTGTGATTTATTTATTTCATAACTGGAAATTTGTACTTCTTAATCCCCTTCACCTATTTTGTCCATTCCCTCACCACCATCACTGCCCAGGCAACCACCTGTTCGTGGTTTGGCAATCACATCTTCCTTATCCATTCATCTATCAATGGACACTTAGGTTGCTTTCTTAATATGCTAATTAATTTATATAAATATTATTATTATTTTCTTAACTTTGAGAATAAACTGAAGACATAGTGCACTTAATCTTTAAATGTTTCAGTGTGTATTTCCTAAAAAGTGGGACACTTTCTACATAGTCATGGTAAATTATAAAATTGAGAAATTAGTATTTATTGAGAATCCAATATTATTTATCAGATCAACAGATCTTACTCAAGCTTCACAAGTTGACCAAATAATATTCTTTCTAGCCAAAGAAAAAAATAGTTTCCTGGTCCACTATCACATATTGCATTGAGTTGTCACATCTCTTTAGTCTCCATTTATCTGGAGCAGTCTTCAATCTTTCTTTTCCTTCATGACTTTAACATTTTTAAAGAGTATAGGCCATGTATTGTGTGAAATTGGAAGAGTTGTCTCTATGCAGGCTTAACTTCCATTTATGCACAAAAGTGCTGCTGTGTCCTTCCCAGTGTACCATACCAGGAGGCACATGATGTTGGTTTCTCCCACAACTAGTGGTATTAATTTGTATCACTTGATTAAGGTGGTATCTCTCAGGCTTCTCCACTGTGAAATTATTATTGCTCTCTTTTTAATTAGTATGTATCTTATCTCATGGGGAGATTTTTTTGAGATTCTATAATTATTGGGTTGTTTTTTTTAAGATTTTATTTATTTATTCATGAGAGACACAGAGAAAGAGGCAGAGACATAGGCAGAGGGAGAAGCAGGGCTCCCTGCAGGAGCCCAATGTAGGACTTGATTCTGGGACTTCGGGATCACACCCCAAACCAAAGGCAGACACTCAACCCACTGAGCCCCCCAGGCATCCCTAATTAGTTTCTTATCAGAATTTCACCTACTAGTTTTAGCATACATTAATTGTTCTTGCCTGATATAATTGCTACTATTATAGTTGCCAAAAGGTGATTTTCTAATTCCATCATTTCTTTTACATTTATTAGTTGTCATATTAATTCTTCTATAAAATGAGGCAAATAATATGCCCTATCTAACTCAAAAGGCTGTGAAGAAAATCAAATGAGATCTATATGTAAAAGTGCAGTGTAGAATGCTTCACAAATAAACTGCTCTTTTACTATAACTCCTCTTATGCTTGCCCCCAACAAAATATGATAACATAGAAAGTTTCTACTCTCTGATCTCAGAAAACATTAAGCCCCATGAACATTTACTGTTTTCAGAAAATTCCATGAGATTTTTTTTAAAGATTTTATTTATTTATTCATGAGAGACACAGAGAGAGAGAGGCAGAGACCTGGGCAGAGGGAGAAGCAGGCTCCATGCAGGAAGCTGGACGTGGGACTCGATTCCAGGACTCCGGGATTACGCCCTGAGCCAAAGGCAGACGCTCAACCACTGAACCACTCAGGTGTCCCTTCATGAGATTTTAATCGCAGTGAAAGCTATAGAATTCATTCAGAAAACATTTTCAACACTTAATTACTCAATTATTCAATTTATTGAGGCCATATCTAAACAAAACACTACACTAATTGAATTTATAAATATGAAATTTCCTTAAAAATGTCTAAACATTAAATTTCACAAGAGGTAGTTATACCAACACCTCACCTCAAAAGTATACATTTTTAAATGTATTTATATATTTGAAAAGGGAAAATTCTACTACATGGACATTAATTTGCCACAAATCAATAATTCCTACACAGGAAATATTTGGGAAACAATACCAAATTATTAAGCCACGATTGTCTAAAAACTTGACTGCTTTAGAAGTAGGCACAGCTATATCAAAAGAATCAACCAGTTTGCTCAAACCTACCATATTTGGATATTTAAGTCTGACTTAATTTTATCAATGGACAGTTCTTCTTTCTTTTGTTATAGATCTTGTACCAGGAAGAAAGATGAAAGCCCAAAATTTCCTTGAGAAGTGAAGAAGATATATTACATTGAGTTGTTTTTTATCTGAAATAATCTATTCCTTATAAAGCAGTACACATGAGTGTACATGAGTGTGTGTGTATAATTCAATCTGTGTGTATGTTTATATTCCTTATTAGGGAAAGAAATATTTACATAAAAAGGAAAAAAACTGGAAGAAAATGTACCAAAAATATTAAGAGTCAAACATGATAATCATTAATTTGTTCTTTAATTTTTTCTGTATTTGCCAATTTTTTTACCATGAGCATAAGTTACTTCTATAAGCAGAAAAAAATGAATAATTTTTAAAATATTTTATTTATTTATTCATGAGAGACACACAGAGAGGCAGAGACATAGGCAGAGGTAGAAACAGGCTCCCCATGGGAGCCTGATGCAGGACTCGATCCCAGAACCCTCAGATCATACCCTAAGCTATAGGCAGACACTCAACCATCCTAACACTTACTTTTAATCCAAAAACAACTGTGATATTTCTAAATTGATACAGTAAGGCTACCTGAAATGATGCATTTTTTTAATTTAGGAAAAGATAAAAAGGTAATAAATGCTGAGGGAAAATACAAGTGGCAGTCTCCTAAGGAAAGGAAAAGGAAGCCCTCCATCTGTTTGATTTCAAGCTCTACCCTGCTTCTAGCCCTGAAAAATTAGTTTGCCAAGTCATTCTGCTAAACTTGCAGTCAAAGTCTCATGATTTTCCAGAAAGAATTTGCTTTTCTTAGTCCTATGTCATGTGATTCTTTTTCTCACAGAAAGCTAGTATCCAAAGAGAACAGAATCTGAGGCTTCTTGATTTTCTCTGGGATGCTGTGCCTACAGGCATCATCCCTCAGTCTCTACCCATTCATCTCCCCCTCTCTCCACGAACTCTGTGGTGGCTGTGCACTTGCATATTCTCTGAATAAAGTTCTGACGGTCTCAGAGTTGGGTTGAAGAATGACAATAGCCCATTGAAAATAAGAAAATGGAAACCAACTTGGAAATATTTTCATAGGGCAACTACTTTGCCTGATGGTGTAAAAATAATTAAGGATCTAATCAATCAATTAGAATTGAACATTTTCTAATAGATTTTCCTAATTCTACTCTTGAATTTCATGAAGTAGCAAGAGATAAGATTTTACCATGACAGCCCATGTTTTAGATGGGTGAATTCATACATGAGATTACTGTCACGTCAACCCAGTTACTAATGTCAGCTTTGTCATGGGACCCTCTCTTCTGTTTACTTTCTCTATCACTTGGTTAGTTTTTGCGTTACTTTAGAGGAATGGTTTAGCACATAAATGACCATTTTTCGAACCAAATAATAGTAATTTTTTTAAACTATTAATTCACTCAAATGCATTAAAATATCTGAAGTTCATCAATATTGGGCTATAGTGCCTTAATGGTTCTAATTTGAATTTTCTTTCTAATTTTGAACACTCAGGTCACTGTCTTCTTTTATTGTTCAAGAAAGAAGAGTCCCTATCATATACAGGAAAAAAAAAATGTTCTTTTGGGTGTTAGCCCTCCTAATTTTTTGTGGTTTTCTATGGAATTATAAAAGACAACTAAAGATTGCAGATATCACTGATAAGTACATTTTCATTACTGGGTGTGACACGGGCTTTGGAAATTTAGCAGCCAGAACTTTTGATAAAAAAGGATTTCATGTAATAGCTGCCTGTCTGACTGAATCAGAATCAACAGCTTTAAAAGCGGAAACCTCAGAAAGGCTTCATACTGTGCTTCTGGATGTAACTGACCCAGATAATGTCAAGAGGACTGCCCAGTGGGTGAAAAATCAAGTTGGGGAAAAAGGTGAGTGATATGGGGGTGGGAAGAATGGAGGGGGTGTTGTGAAGTAGCTATAGCTAAATAAAATGTGTTTGGATTTTAAATGGCCTTTCAAGAAAATGTCTCCAAAATACCAGCTATGGTACTGGAGAATACTGGAAAAATCTTAGGATAGAGCCCTCAATAGTTTCAAGTTGCAAGCTCCCTGTTTGCACTAGAGACACAGCCCACATTATCCTCAGTCATACGTCCCAGTAGGCAAATTTAGAACTGAGTTGGAGGTTTTGACTTTTCCTGCTCTTCTCTCATGAAATTCTGGTTTAACCAAATTCACAGCAAAGGAACTTGGGACTAAAAGCTTCAGGAGATCATGGAAACAATCCCCAAATTGCCACCTGGAACCCACTTCTCACTATAAAATCATTCCATAACTCTTACATTTTCTATGGAAAAAAATAGAAAATAGCCTGAAAATCAGAGTAAAGGTGTCTTAATAGACTAGCAGTAGTCTAGTGGCAGTCTAGTAAGCCACTGGACCTCATTCTGCATCAGCTTCTGCTAAGATGGCATCATTCCAAACTAGAGGACTTTTCTTGGCTTGAATGAAGTTTGAAATATTCTCATTAATGAAGATGTCAAAATCCAAAAAAGAAATAAACAAATGTATGTGATTTTTTCTATCACATCTTCATCATACAGTTGAGACTCCATTGCTCAAAAGCAATGGTTTAATAATGCTCCAGACAATTGTTAATGCTTGAAGCCCAAACATTAACAATATTAAATGTTTTCCGTCATAAAATAAAATAGTTGATGACTAGATTTTTTTTTTCACCAAAAACAGATGTGAAGTCGATTGATATTGCTCTTTGTAAATAAATAATCTCTGGCTTTGTGATCTAGCAAGTGGGAAAAATAGACCAATTTACTCTGCATCTAAGATGAAAAAGCAAAAGACTCATTCAGACAATGTCAGTATTTTACATTCAGAACCAGAAATAGAGTTTCTGTGAGATTGGCTTCCAGTAACAGAGCTTCAACTATTTCAATTTAGCCTCCTACCCTCTCTGAGAGTAGTTACTTCCCAAAACTATAAAGCATTTCAAAGCAAGAATGTGGTTAGAAGGAGGAAATGGCACAGTTGTGTAAAGCAGGGGCTGTACTTCCATCAAAGATGCTCATATAAGTGTCATCTTCTATCATGCTTCCTTTCTTTCCTCTCTATTCTAGGTCTCTGGGGTCTGATCAACAATGCAGGTGTTCTCGGTGTGCTGGCTCCCACCGACTGGCTGACAGTGGAGGACTACAGAGAACCTATTGAAGTGAACTTGTTTGGACTCATCAATGTAACACTAAATTTGCTTCCCTTGGTCAAAAAAGCTCGAGGAAGGATTATCAATGTCTCCAGCATTGGAGGTCGGCTTGCAATTAGTGGAGGGGGCTATACTCCCTCAAAATACGCAGTAGAAGGCTTCAATGACAGCTTAAGGTAAATCAAATATCAACATGTTAGGAAATAATAGCTGCTAATGCTTACTGAATGTTTATTATGTACTAGACACTCTATTTATTGCTTAAAATTATTCCCAACTTGATTTTTTTTTAAAGATTTTGTTTATTTATTCATGAGAGACACACAGAGAGGCAGAGACATAGGCAGAGGGAGAATGCTGGACTCAATCCCAGGACTTGATCCCAGGAGCAGGACTAGATCCCAGGAGCTCAGGATCACAACCTGAGCCAAAGGCAGATGCTCAACCACTGAGTCACCCAGGTGCCCCAAATTATTCCCAATTTGTAGACAAAACCACTGAAAGAAAGAGATTAAGTAACTTGCCCAGTGTCACCCAGCTGGTAAGTGGTACAATTGAGATTTGAACTTAAGTCTATTTAAGTCTTTTTTCACTTTTTGCATTACTGCATGATGCTGACAGAGATGGTGAATTTATATTCAACAGGTCAGTTTGTTAAATAGTCAGGGAATCATATAGAGAGACTAAATTAGGGTAGATCTCTCCATTGGTATAACTGTTGCTTGCAGACACAATAATACCATCTTATTTAAACCCTCCGTAGAAAATTATCTGGTAAAGTAAATGTAATTATCACAAAATAATGACTCAGCTATGCTGCATTTTCCCCCCTTTGTTCCAAGTTCCAGACCCAAATTTCTATATATTTCAGACACTACAGCTAAATGGATAATTTTCCCATCCCCACCCCCACCCCAAAGGCAAAAAAATAGTTTTTCTCTGATGCTTCCATATCCAAAAAATATCAGAATAGGAATTTACTAATCATAGATGAAAATTTTGCTCCCACAAAAAAGCACTGACCACGACTTTCTGCTGTGTGTTATCAAAGAACTCCAGAGCTCAAAACAAAGGACCTATTTAGCAAACAAAGGCCCTAACTCAATGCCCCCAAGCATGAATTTCTCTGGGTTTATAACATTTGGGTTTTTTTGGGCTTCCTGAATCTATAGGTTTATGTCTTTTGATGAGCTGTTGTTTCTTCATTTTTTTCTGCAATCCATTCTTTCTCTTCTTCAGAGGCTCTATTACACAAATGTTAGACCTTCAGTTTTGTCCCACAGATTCCTAAGGTTCTGTTCACTTTCTCATTTTTCTCTCTGTTATGCAGATTGGAAAATTTCCAATGATCTACCTTCAAACTCACTAACTTTCCTCCATCACCACTGTGCTATTGAATCCAACCAAGAAATATTTTATTTTGGTTATTGTATTTTTCAAGTGTAAAATTTTCATTAGGTTCTTCTTTGTCTTTTCTTTTTCTGGGAAGCGTTCTAACTTTCTAACTTTCCATTCACTTCAAAAGTATTTTCCTTTGTATTTGAAGCATTTTTATAATAGCTGCCTTAAAGACTTTGATAATTACAACATCTGTATCCATTGGCATGAACATCGGCCACTGTCTTTTCCCATGTGAATTGAGATTTTCCAGTTCTTTTTTATGCTGAATATTTAGAATGATATGAGACTATGGGTCTCCTTTAAGTCTTATGGAGAAGATTGATATTTTTGTTTTATTTTATTTTTTAAAAATATTTTATTTATTTATTTGAGAGAGAGAAAGAGAGCACACATGAGCTGGGGGGAGGGGTGGAGGGAGGGGCTGAGCCAGGAGCCTGATGTGGGGCTTGATCCCAGGACCCTGAAATCATGGCCTGAGCTGAAGGCAGATGCTTCCCTGACTGAGACACCCAGGCACCCCAATATTTTTGTTTTAGCAAACAATTGGTGAGGTTGTGTTTAGGTCACGACTGCTGTCATTCTGTTTACTTCGATATTTCAAGGTTTGCTTGATTTTTAAAGACTTTATGGTGCTATTCAGATTTGTTCTGCAGATGTATCACACAGTGGCCAGTTGGGGATGTGGAACAGGGCTGTCCCAGAGCTTGCTTCTTTAAGTCAGATCCACACATGCATGCGTGCAGTGCATAAACAATGCTATGGCATCACTTTCCTGAGCACCTCTCTCTCTGATCTGTCCGATTCTCTCTCGTTTCCTGGGACTGCCCTCCAGCTAGAAGCTACCCCATTCTGCCAACTACTTCCCACATGTGTGCTGGGTACAGCGCCACATCATGGGAGGAGAGAGGGAGATGAAAAGCAACAGGATTTCTTCCCACCTTCTTGGAGACTAATTACCACTTTTAAAAAGGGAATTAACTGAACAGCTTTGCGTGTTTGCCCTGCAGCTAAATATACCATGCCTGAAATTACTCAGTAAAATATGCGGTTGTTGTGGTGGTGGTTTTCTTCTAAATCATGGAACTGGTATTGGAAATGGTACTGTGCCTGCAGGCCACAGTCCAGTGGTGGCTCTAGACTTTCTATACATAGGAGTGGTCCAACTGGGAGAGGGCTGGGGTTCTTTAAAGTTATTTGCCCAGCAAGCATACTGGTTTCATATGGTTTGACTTACCTGGTAAGCTTAGTTGGGTGACTTAAAGCCATTTGTCCCTAGACTATATGTTATTTCTTGAGTGGATAGGGAGACAAAATTTCCCAAATACTTTCCAAAACCCAAAGAAACTCAGAAGATAGGTGAGTAAAGTAAATTAAGTTGGAAAATAGCTTTAAAAAATTTTAATGCGGGCAGCCTGGGTGGCTCAGCCGTTTAGTGCCACCTTCAGCCTGGGGTGTGATCCTGGAGACCCAGGATTGAGTCCCACGTCAGGCTCCCCACATGGAGATTGCTTCTCCTTCTGCCTGTGTCTCTGTGTCTCTCATGAATAAATAAACAAAATCTTTAAAAGAAATAAAAAATTTTAATGCAAGCAACATACTTTTCAAAATCTTTCGACACCAAGCTAATTTGCATTTTCAGTAAGATACACTGCAAACTAAATAATAGGTATGTTGCTAAAGGCAGAACCTAAGATAAATCACATTTTAAGTTCATTGGTAGAGTTCTTTAAAAATCTTATGACAAAGGCTTATATAAAGTGAGTAATTACTTCCTTATATATTCTAGGTGGAAATATACATTAAATATAGGAAATAATTATTTACATAATTGTTTGCAATTCTTTGTTTTGCTTTTAAAGGCGGGGGGCATCACGATTCCCCTAAAACTTTATTGCCCAATAAATCAGTAAACCTTTGGTTTTCTGAGGCCACATGATGAAAGAGCTTGCTGAGCAGCATAGGGAGCAGGTTAGCCACATCAGAGATTGTCACACTGTGTCCTTCAGCCTATCCTCATTTGTGCCGCAATCTCTTCACATTCCTAAGATGGAGGTAAACTTGTCCATCCAGGCCAATCATTACTCCATTTCCCCATAATGTACATTGCCTACTGAGAGATCTGTCCTTAACCCAACTACTTGTCAATTTAATGAGAGAGTATGGCTTAGTGGGGAGCACTAGACTAGAAGTGGGTCTGTCCCTTTCCCATTCTGCCACTAAACCAGCCTTCACACCCTGAATATCAACTTCCTCACTGCAAACTGAGAGTGTAGAACAAGATATTCCTTTCTAACCCACCTAATTCTGTGATCGCATGAAAAAAAGTCATAAGAAAATAATCACCCAAATAGCAAACATTCTCCAAACAAACTTGGATTAAACATCAATACATTCTTTTCACAGGCGGGACATGAAAGCTTTTGGTGTGCACGTTTCATGTATCGAACCAGGATTATTCAAGACAGGATTATCAGATCCAATAAAAGCCACTGAGAAAAAACTTGCCATTTGGAAGCACCTGTCTCCCGATATCAAACAACAGTATGGAGAAAGTTACATTGAAAAAAGTAAGTCTCTGGAAGGACGCAGGGTTCCTCTGGCATTTATTGTCATAGGCAACCTGGAGACTCAAATATAAATGAAAAAATAGGGGCACCTGGGTGGCTCTATTGGTTAAGTCTGCCTTTGGCTCAGGTCATGATCTCAGGGTCCTGGGATCAAGCCTCACATCAGGCTCTGTGCTGAGCACAGAGTCTGCTGGTTCTTCTCCCTTTGCCCCTCCTACTGCTCATGTTCTCTCTCTCTCTGTCTTTCTCAAATAAGTAAATAAAATCTTTTTAAAAATTAAAGAAATAAGGTTCTTATAATAATATACCAATAGGGATTTTAGATATGGATCAGAGATCCTTATTAATTCCAGTGCCATCTCTTACTTCAAGTGTTTATAAACATTTACTGAGCATTTACCAAATGACAAATTCTATACTAAACACCTTATGAATTCTACTATTTCCTTCTCAAAAGAACCATAGGAGTAGTGAGCAGAGGCTTAGAAAAGTAAATGTTCTACCCAAAGCTATATACCTCCTCCTGGTCATGCCCAGATTAGAGTTCACAGTCTTCACCTCTACACAACCTTCTCTTTTTTGGTAAACACCAACCACTCACTCAACATTGTTCAAGGATTTATGGAGGTTACAAAATATAAGGACTCTGACGCTTAACAAGCTTACAGCCTAGTGGACAAGAAAGAGTAACCAAGTGAGATTGTAAAGCAATGAGATGTGCAGCATGCCAGCAAACTGATTCTGTACTTCTTAGACAGAACCCAACAGCCCAGATAGGGTGCTAGATAGTACAGTCTCTAATTGCCCAAGGAATTCAGAACTGGATGAGAGCATTGCTGGTCAAGTGGCCTTTGAGTAAGGCCTAAAGGACAGGAAGGAATTATTTGGGTGGAAGGTCTCCAGAACAGGAATGCATGAGGGGTGGAGATGGAAGGAGAAGTAACATAAGTCAGATTGAGTCAGGGATGGAGAAATAATAGATAGAGTATGACTAACATACAGTGAACACTTACTATGTACTTGTCACCGTTCTAAGTGCTTTACATAGACTGTCTCATTTAAAATGCCCAGATAAACCCTAAGAAGTAGATATGACCTGAGTTTTATAGAAACAGAGGCACAGAGAAATAACTTGCCCAGTGTTGCAATTAGTAAGTGGAGGAGCTAGATTTGAACCCAGACAGCCTGACTTTGCCTTTTATTCTTGGGTCCAGCACTATAAGGTGAACAAGGCATTAAGAAGCTGGTGGAACTTCCTGTACCAGGGCTCCACCTCCATCTCAATTTCCCGGTCCTGTGAAAAGCTTAGTCAACATTCCTCAAACACTTACTGAGCTCCTGCTTTAAGCCAAACAGGGCCCCACCTAACTTGGTGTCATTCTAACCTCAAAACTCCTCTTCATCGGCGGGTTTTGTAAGACAGCCAACTGTGGCAAAGTTCAAGGCTGGGAGTTTTTGAGGTGGAGCCAAGATCCAAGTCAGGTCCACCCAGGGAGGTTTTTAGAATGACACTCCCTCAGCCATCCAACCCCATTACACACACACACACACACACACACACACACACACACACGCGCGCGCATACACATACATCAATGAGAACACTGACAAACCTCCCCAGTGCTATGTCACTAGATGCTGAGAATCACTGCCATTAAATACTCTGTTTCTTACTCATTACTGACTTTGAAGATTCTTAGTAGGTTCAGAAACAAAATCCCTCATTTAAAAGAGTTTTCTCTGTTTGATAATTGACATTGATACTTTCTAAATGCCCATGAATATGTCATCAACCTGCATCTCAAAATTATTTTTGACTTGGCTGCTGGCTCAGGTGTCCTCTCTCAGAAGTACCAAAAGTCTTTGAGCCCAATTTTGTGCTAGCTGTTTTTATTAGTTTTCCAACTTGGACTCAGTTCCAAAGAAGACCACTTGTTTAAGTTCACCTGTCATTTCCCAGGCTATGGTTGTAAGAGTTTAAAATAGTCACTAAGATTTATTAGGTAATCACAATTAGGTTCTTTGAGCAACTTGTGGCTACTGGGGCCTGAAGTTGAAAGGGAGATTTGAAATCGTAGATTTTCTCTTGAGAAGACACAACCCAGGTATGTTTTAAGAGCACAAGAGGAATGCTCCAAGCCATTATCAATCTTCTGATAAAATACCTGCCTCTTTAAAGCTATCGTAGCTCATTACTCAAGCATTTCATCTGCCTGATAACACAGATATGTTTAACTTTCTGAGTCAAGACTTTGGGGGATGATTCCCTCTTTATTCACTGAATAAGAGGCACATGGTATGTGAGTGCACGCATGCACACACATGCACAAGCACACATGCAATCCACATTTCCTAGAAATCTAGTAATCCTTAAAATAAATTTGAAATCAAACCCACAATCCTGGGCTCAGGGGCCTCATAGACTTAATAAAGTATCTTTCCCTCATTGCTTTAAAGTAGTGTTTCTCGGGGATCCCTGGGTGGTGCAGCGGTTTGGCGCCTGCCTTTGGCCCAGGGCACGATCCTGGAGACCCGGGATCGAATCCCATGTCGGGCTCCCGGTGCATGGAGCCTGCTTCTCCCTCTGCCTGCTGCTCTCTCCTCTCTCTCTCTCTCTCTCTCTCTCTCTGACTATCATAAATAAATAAATAAAAATTAAAAAAAAATAAAGTAGTGTTTCTCAAAGTTTGGTCCTGGGAACAGCACCGGTCAGTATCAACTGGAAACTTGATAGAAATGCAAATTATTGGGTGCCACTTCACACCTCCTGGGTCAGGAGCTGGTGGTGGGATCCAGCAATTGGGCTTTAACAAGCCCTCTAGGAGATTCTGCTGCCCACTCAAGTTTGAGAGCCAGTGGTCTAACGAAACACTGCTGCATCCTTTTGGGAGAAATAGATAGAAACCCACCACAAGGGGCCTCCATTTATAATGGCAAATTCAAAATAAATTTCCACATGCATATTCGTCCCTTTACACCTTGGCCTCACACACTCCTTTTCCCCTTCTTCCAAAGAGTAAATGTATTTTTTGTCTCCTTCTGCAGGTCTAGACAAACTGAAAGACACTACTTCCTTTGTGAACGTGGACCTCTCCCTGGTGGTGGAGTGCATGGACCACGCTCTCACAAGTCTCTTCCCTAAGACCCGTTATGCTGCTGGAAGAGATGCCAAGACCTTCTGGATTCCTCTGTCTCACATGCCAGCAGTTTTGCAAGACTTTCTATTGTTGAAACAGAAAGTAGAGCTGGCTAATCCCAAAGCCGTATGATGCAGCTGACAACAAATGCCTGCCCACCGGCTATGAGATTGGGTGCTTTCAAAGACACATCTCCTTTTTGGTCTCATTCCTTACCTAATCCGACCTGGACTTGTTTAAATCATGCTTCTTTTGATCAATGAAGGGGTCCCACCAACACCAGGAATGTCCCAGGGTCCCTTTTTAAGCTCTCTTTGAAAAGAAAAGCGGTGATGACCTATCACATAGAAGGGCCAGGATGGCACCTGCCCAATATTTAGGCTTTGCCTACTTAGTACGACATAAGGGAAATTGAAAGCCTTACCCATCCAAAATGATCTCTATCACCACCAGCTGCATGTTTCTAGCCCCCACCCCTTGAACTCCAGAATGTTAATTATTTGTCCCATATCAAAATGTTCAGAGATAGCTAGAACACTTTCATGTGGATTGGTTGTGTCATTTTGCTGAAAAGAAGACTTTGAAGGACTGGAACTCAGTTTTGCAAGCTGTGGTAGGTCAGGAGAAGGAAGGGTGAGGAAGCATTATGTGACAGGTACAAATTAAGGGGAGCAGAGAAACAGTAGGTAGGATTGCAAGTAGGAGGGTAGGAAAAGAGCAGAAGGACAGAGGACTGAAAAGAAGAAACCAGTATGGAAGTGGATGGAGTGGGATTCCAAGACAAGCCTGCCTGTTCTAGAGGGAGCTGTGGAGGGTGAACCGTCTATTCAAAGTCACTGTGAACACTGAGGCCTACACAGCTGTCTTTGGAAAGCTGGTAACAGCAGAGTAACCAGTCATTCTAAGGAAGAAAAAGGTGGGGTATTTATGTTGACTATGGAGATTGTAAATACAACAAGACCCAGAATATCTGAAACAACTTACACCCAAGATGGTTGGAGATCCTCCATTTGATGTGTCTCTGAAGCCCCATGAAGATATGGAGCTAAATTAAGACTCTCTTTGACCTACAGTTACTGTGACAGCAGGTCTGCTCCTTGCTCACAACCATGTCCTAAATTGGACTGACCCTGGCTCATCTCCTCCAAAAATAAGTTCTCTAAACGGATGCTTCCCAGATGCCAGCACCCAGTATCACTCACTTAGGTCAGTTGAAGATTTGTGTGAAAAGGCCCAAAGTGCCAAAATTCAGTATTTGTTGCTAAATAATATAGAGTTAAAGAGCCAGGAAAATGACAGAGTGTACACACACACACACACACACACACACACACACATGCTTATTGTGAAGAAAATACTTAATATCTGCCTCATAAAACAATACCTATTTGAAGATATCAGTAATTCTATTCATTTTTATTCACCTTTCTGGAAACATCTGTTTGTGAGATAATTTCCACCTTTCACATTTACAGCATATTAATGACTTTGAAAAAACAAATTTCCAATGGTGTCGGTCCACCTGGACATAATGTTATTATTTTAGGGGAAAATACACTCATCTTTATTATATGAAAATGAAGAAAATAACAGCAAGAATCAGAATTCTCAGGCAAAGTTAACTAAACTCTTGTCACTTCCTACCCATGAAGTCCTCTCCATCTTGGCCCTAGCTCCAGAGACGACTCACCTTAGATCTCTAATTTCTTCTTGTTGCAATTAACCACCTGTGGGGTAGGGACCCCTTGCACAGCTTGTCCTTGTTGCTGAAGTTCATCAGGGTTGTTTGCTGGGCCTCTTCCTTCACACCCTGAACTCCCAGATCCTGGCTTCGTTTCGCTGTTTTAAAAATGTTTGGCCTGGTGTTCCCTGATCTTCTTAACATCTGCGGCTGCCAAGGCTTTTAAAATCTGCAGGAACCTGCTTTGCTGAACTTCAAACCATTCCAGTTGTGTTCTTGGGTCTTCCTAAAGGTGTTATTTCCTTTATTTTACCTAGACCTCCGTTCTTTGCTCATTTCTCCAAGTAACTACAATTGGCAAATTCCTGTTTCACTCCATCCAAAAGTATTCTACTTAAACGAATGCTCTCAAATATGGTACCATCTCAAAATAAAACCAAGTATATTCACCGAAGCAATATTTAAAGTTTTTTAACTAAATGAGAAGACAGCAGAATATAAAGGTATCGTCTCAACAGAAGCACAAGACCTAGAAGAGAGGGAGGGAGAGAGGAAGGAAGGGACATCGGAAGGTCACTGCACCATGAGTCTGGAGCATGGCTGCCTAGACTCCTTGCCATCTTTCTGTCACTTCTGATATTCTCTGTGCTCTTGGGAACATATCATATTTTTATCTATACCATTTGGGCATATCTACTGGGCATTCTGCAAGTCCTAGCCTACAGTAAGGAACGACATGGTCCCTTCCTTCTAGAGCTTGGTATAATCCAAAGGCGGAGGTTACCACTCAGGATGCCTTAGAAGAACTTCTCCAGGAAACTATGGCCAAGATAAATTGAGATGTTGTCTTTCTACCACCTCTCGGTTATGAGATCTTTCCTCACTTCGTTTGGGCACCAGGAGAACCTTTCAGACTTTTCCTCTGATCTGATCTAAAAATCCCACTATGTCCTCTGTAGCTCTATCTGGATATCCACAAGGTATTCAAATCTAGAGTTTCCATCTCCTCACCCCCTTACCCTTTCCCAGGCAAACACCAACTACTATCAATTTGATCCCCTAAGGAGATATCACAAGTCTACTCCTTTTTATCTCCAGTGCAATCATCTGTTAAGGCTTTCATCATCTCTTAGTTCAATGATAGCATATTTACCCTTGTATTCAATGATTTCTCCTCACTGCAGTCAGAATTGTTCAAAATCCAGATCTGATTATTCTACTCTTCTCCCCACCACTTCTTTCTTAAACCCTTCAATGTGTCCCATTGCATTTTGGCTAAGGACCAGAACGCATAACATAAATGATGTTGCCCCAGCACTCCTCATCAGCTTCATTTTAGGTTATTCTGAGGTTAGCCCCCTCAGAGCCCTTGCCCATGCTCTTGCCTAGAACGTTTCCATCTTACCTGCTTATCTAGTTTCCTCATCCTGTAGATCTCAGCCGCTTCCTCAGGGAAAACTATACAGTTCCAAATTCTGACCAGTCTTTGTATCCCACCCAGGTTTCTGTTTCTGCTTCTGTCTTGTCCAGGGCACTGTAATCACATATTTGTGTGGTTAGTTAGTTAGTTAATATAGGTCTCCCCAACCAGACTTTAAGTTCCATGAATTCAGGAACCATGATGCTTTGCTTATCTTTCTATTCCCTTACCTAGCACATTGCTGGCACACAGACCACTATTCAAAAATATTAATTGAGTGAATTTAGAAATTAGCCTCTATGAGGCTTTCCAACTAGGGGGTAATCTATCACTTAAGATAGGGCTTGCCAATCCCATTAATTGTGCTATCAAAAAAGCAGTTCGATTAGAATCCTGTAACTTCCTTAAACCTTTGACTACTTCCACAAGGGCTCCCTACTTCTGGTTCTTCTGTAAGCCTCCCTTCAGAAACTAGTTGCCATGGTGACTTCTCATGATCAATGGTCCAGAGACACTGTGAACGAACCTCTGTCCATGTCGAGTCTTTCTGGGCTCAGTGGTCACAGAACAGGGAGCATCAGGAACCATTTCATCCACTTCTCCACCTATAGGCACTCTGTACGCAAGCCATCCAGACTAAAGAAAACCACTTCAGTTTAAAATCTCTCCAGGGGCACCTGGGTGGCTCAGTTGGTTAAGCATCTGACTCTTGATTTCAGCTCAGGTCATGATCTCAAGGTTATGAGGTCAGACTATGTTCTGGGCATGGAGCCTGCTTAAGATTCTCTCTCTGCCCCTTTCCTCCTCTAAAAAATGAAATGAAATGAGGTGAAATGTAATGAAATAAAATAAAATCTTTCCAGGAACTCCATAACTTCCTTGGGCAACCCCGCTAATATTCGATAAGGAACCATTGCCAGGAACTTCCAAGAAAAATGACCAATTTTGGCTTTCTTCTCTATTAAAATCCCAATAAGTTTCAGGAATGTGAGAGATCAGAGTTCCATCAGTATGGAGGAAATGACTAAACAGTCTCAAATGGAAAGGCTTTTAATATCTAGAAATTACTTGTAACAATCTAATCTAAGCCACAGTTTATAAGGACAATGCTGGTCAACAGTTTCATGAATTTTTGGCTGTTAAAAAATAAGACAATTCTGTTGATATTCATAATACTGACATTCTTCCTCAACTCTGTGACTCATTTTCAAAAAGAAAATATGAACAATTTCCATCCTACTATATATACGAGGCACTAAAATAACCAGGGCTCTAGTGCAGATTCTAGTTTAGCCAAATCTCCAAGCTCTTTTTGCACACTGCACCTGCCTGAGAAAGAATCAGATCACAGCTCTTGCCTGATTAGTCCCTAGAAATAAACAGCACTCTGGCCTGAAATAGGTCAGGCAAGGTAACATAGCAATCTGTCACATTCTACAATGAGCAACTGCCCTGAACAGTTCCATTTCAGTTTATTTTGAGAAACTGGACTTGGAAAGGGTTCCACTCTAGATACATAGCATAAGCCCTAGGAAAGACCATTCAGTCCCACGCTGGGTGGAGGTGGTGGGGCTGGTACAATTGCTTTCAGCCATCTGGGTCTGTTTTCTCCTCTTAGATATGGCAGCTGGAACTTGAGTATGAAGCCACCCAATGAGTGGTGGAGCCTGAGATATGGATTAGTAACCCAAGCAATCTCACAGGTATAATAAGAAAATAGTATCAATGGTTATTTAATACTTAGTACACATCAGGTTCTCTATGCATTTGGACATTGCACAAATGATTTAATCTAACCCTTACCATATCTCAGGTATATTTTGTGGTTGTAACTATTGTTTATTTATTTTTAATGTGGTAAGAATACTTCATATGGGATCCACTCTGTTAAATGAAGTGTGCAATACAGTATTATAAAGTATAGGCACAATGTTGTACAGTAGATCCCTAGAACTTAATCATTTTGCATAAATGAAATTTTGTACTGGTTGAACAGCAACTCCCCATTTCCCCTACCCCCAGTCCCTGGAAACCACCATCCTACTCTTTCCTTTTATGACTTTGACTATTGTCTATACCCCATGTAGAAGGAATCATGCAGTATTTGTCCTATGACTGTCCTACTTCATCTAGCATAATGTCCCCCACGTTCATCCATGTTGTCACGTATGGAAGGATTACCTACTTTTTAGTGCCAAAACATATTCCATTGTAGGTGTATACCACCTTTGTTTATTTATCTGTTGGTAGACATTTAGATTGTTTCCACATCTGGGCTGTTGTGAAGAGTGCTGCAATGAATGTGGGAGTGCAAATACCTCTTTCAGATCCTGATTTTAATTCTTTTGGATAAAGACCCAGAAGTGAGATTGTTTGGCCATATATTTCTTTTTTTAGCTTTTTGAGGACCCACCATGCTGTTGTCTGTGGCAGCTGCTCCATTTTGTTTTCCTTCCAACAATACACAAGAGTCTCAATTTCTCCACATCCTCACCAATGCTTACTTTTTCCTTTCTTGGTAATAGTCATCCTAATGAGTATAAGTTGATATCTCACTGTAATTTGGACTTGCATTATTTGATCATTGGTCATGAGTGATGTGGAGAATCTTTTTGTTTACCTGTGGCCTATTTGGATATCTTCTTTGAAGAAACATATATTCAAGGCCTTTGCCCATTTTTAATCAGGTTATTTGTTTTTGGTTATTGAGGTGAAGAAGCTCCTTATATATTTTGGATATTAGATACGTTTCTTTAGAGATGGAGAAATGAAGCCACTAGAGAGGTGGGCAATGTGTCCAAACTTATACTGTTAATAAGTATGGGACAGGGTTCAAACCTGGGCCGTCTAATGCGAGAGCTCACACACAGAACCACTGTGCTCCACTATATGGAAACTATCTTAAAGACTGCTTTTCTAAACCTTTATATGGGCCTGTAAAAATGACGTTACTAAATTAATCTAACATGAGTCTTGCCAAGGCAATAATATTACATAAGAATGATGCCTATTTTGAGCATATATATAGACTCTTTTTTCCCCTCTATTCTAATTTAAAAATTTTCTCATGATAAAAATGACAAAAGCATTTATACACCATTTTTCAGGTCCTTGAAGTTTTCTACCTAAATTCCTAGATTTTCTTTCTTTCCTTCTTTGTTTTCTTTTTTGTTGTTATTGATTTTATTTATTTATTGTTCATATTGTTAGTTGTTTCAAGAATTTATATGTTATCAGCTTTTGCTAATTTCAATAAAGGCCTTAGACCATCTGTCTTGAGCCAAGACCAACTCTTTGATTCTTTAAGCTTTTAGGATCAAAAAAAGGAAAAAGGACAGAGGACCAGAATCTCACAAATACTGTTTCCCTATAGTTGTGTTTTTGTCAATGCAGAGACCTGAATCTGAAAGTGCCATAGGGAGGTATTGGGATGGACTGTCCCAGTCACCATGGCTAGTGCTAGCCCTGGAAATACTAATGAGAGGAAGGAGGGGATCTTAGCTGGACTGGGGTCAGGGCCTTCCAGTGCTAACACACTGCAATGCAAGATACTACTGTAGGTAGCCAAACATTCCAACTTGATTGGAAGAGGACATGGAGCCTAGTATGTTTCAAGAGATGTTTCCACTAACAACATTCCCAGTATGACAAATTTCTGCCCCAATACCACTGAAGAATGATAAGATTACCACATCCTGATTACCTTGTTGATCAGCTCTAGTTAATAGAATGTTCGTTATTATTTTTGAGCCAAAATTTGTCAGTGGAGAAAAGAGAAGGGAGAAAGGGCCATCAGTTCTGTAACCATCATGATAATAACAGTTCATGTTCACTGAACCTTTAAAATGAGCCAGCATTCACTCAGAGTACTGTCCATGTATTTTCTAATGTAGTCCTTACAACTTTTACACAACATGTACTTTTACTGTCTCATTTCACAAATGAGGAGCCTAATAGCCAAGATTCATTCAACTCTAATAATCTATAATTCCTAAATTCTCCCTAAGTCCCTAAAATATGAGCTCCCAAGAAAA